CTTCATCAGTTCCTCACTGCTGGGTTTGTCTGTGGAGCTGGTGTGAGGCACGACTCTCGGTACTAAATATCAGACTCCCAACTGCTGACTCAACTGGCCGAGGGTCCCTGCTTCTAAAGCTCCCCGTGTGATACTAAGGAGAACCACACGTCTTTCCATCCTGTGTTTTTGATGATTTGACATTGGCAGGTTTTGTGCAAGACCGGGCTCTGTAGACCATCAGGAGTCTGGATCACAACACTGATGGTACCCCCTTCCTCTTCCCTTCAAACAGTGGGCTTCCCTGTCACCTGGTAGACACAGTGGATGATTTAATGCATCATTTGGCTCCTGGCACTCTCTCACTCCAATCACCACCATGTTCTGCTGAGGCCAAAGTCCTTATTGTGGCCTGGAAAGCATTCCTCCTGGGGACTTGTGGTCTTCAACCTCTTGCTTGCTCTCTCCCACCACCTCCTGCTGCTCCTGGAACCTTCTGGAAAAGGCTCAATTTTCAGTGCTATTTCCTCTGCCTGGAACAACCCCACCTGCCACTGATCTGCCCTGTGGCTCAACCCCATGCCTCACCCAGTGCAGATAACCTGCCTGCCTTGTTCAAGCGTTTTCCCCCATCACCCATACCTCCCTTGACTGTCATGTATTTATTAGGTGTACTTCTTTGTCTCTCCCCAGCCTGGGAGCTTTGTTTGCTTCATTGATAGAGTCTAAGGAGCTGAAAAAGCCTGGTAAGAGTAGGTATTATAATAAATATTTGTGGGGGCTGGCACTGGGGCACAGTGGGTTAAGCTGCCTTCCACTTACAACATCTGTCTTCCCTATCCCCCTTTCAGAGTGCCAGCAGCTCAGCTTATGATCTGGCTCCCTGCTAATGTGCCTGGGAAGGCAGTGGGTGATGGCCCAAGTGCTTGAGTCCTTGCCACCCACATGGAAGACTCTGAAGGAGTCCTGGGCTCCTGGCTTCAGCCTGGCCCAGATTTGACCGTTGCAGTCATTGGGCAAGTAAACCAGCAGGTGGAATCAATTTCTCTCTGCGTGTCTCTCCAATTTTAAAATAAATAAATACTTGTGGAATTAATTTGCAAGAAAGGGTTTGTTGATCAAAATACCCTCAATCAAAAGGGAGTTTGTGAGCAACTTGGCTGGACCTATGTGGTCCTTGTCATGCTGCAGATATTCAGCGCCTGCAGAGATCCATGGTGAGGACAAAGAGCATTGGTAACTGTGGGCCCCCTGCACCAGAGGATGGTTAAGGGGAGGTCTTCCAGCAGGAACCCTGGGAACAGCCAAGTGAAGGTTGCTTCTGCCCTTGGTGAGGTGGTGACGGACAAATACACACAGAGGCCATGCGGCACCCAGGGATGTGAAGGATTCTGGGAGAAAGGCATCATTATTTTGGTAAGGGTGGATGACAGGTTTTCTAGGGAGTAAACCATGGTCCAGAGGAAACATACAGAAATCATATTTTAGATGTTCAAAGAGCCCTGACAAATTCTTGCACTCGCACCCATTTTTAAAGCTTTAGTTGGCATGGTGTGGGGCAGACATCGAGGGCTGATGAAGTGGATGAGAAAATGCTGCAGATGCAGGGAGAACAGGAAGAAAGGGGCAGCTCTGGAAGGAGCGGCCTCGGCTTGGGGACCCCGGCCAGGAACCCCAGAAATGGTCCCTCATAAGAATTTTGCAAATGATCCAGAAGAAAGTATATCCAGCAGAGTCTGCAACTGAACACGTGACCTTGCACCTTCCTGGCTGGTGGGACGCCAGGGCAGTGGAGACAGATGGTGGAGGTCATCAGGGCTGAGTATGTGGTGGGGAAGCAGCCAACGAGCTTCACTGGGGAAACTCTGGACATACATACATACAAGGAAAAATGGGCTGGAGACGTCAGCATGACCCAAGGGAAGGTCAGAAGAGGCACGGGCACTCCCACTGGACCACCTCAGCCAGGTTAACAGTGGATGCCAGACCCTTCCGGAAATGGGCATTGGTCATTAAGGGATGGAGTTCATTTTCCCACTGCTTTTTGAAGTTGGGAAATGGCTGCCATTCTCTCCCTATCTCCTGTCCTGAGGGTGCGTCTTAACTTCCCCCATCCCACTTCACAACTTTGGGCTTTCAATTGTGTCTTCCCCACCACCTTGTGAGCCCCCAGCACCCCTTCTTCTCTATCTTCCCCAACCACACTCACCCCTCACTGCCCTGAGCTCCCTGCTCAGATCTCTGTGGAATGCTTTAATATTTGCAAGAGGTGTCTTTCATGTGGGCACTCACGATTAATGGGATGCATGATTGGATCAAGTCTGTGTGTTTCAAGACAGACACAGGGAGATGGAAAGATGTCAAGTCAGCCAGGGGAGGGAGGCACCATGGCCAGAAAGCTGGGCTTCTCAGTCTGGAATGAGGACCAGTGAAACAGGCAAAGGAGCACATGGAAATCCTTGAAAGTGGAGAGGTGAACAGGACCTGGCTCACCGAATCAGAACACTGGAAAGACGAAGGTGCCAATGGTGTTTAAAAAGTCCTTTCAAGCGAATGGAAGCCTCCTTGAATCTTTCTGAGTATGAAGCATGATATTCTTAAAAATCAGCTGTTTGGGTAAGATTTGCATACTGTTAAATACACCTGTGGGGAGTACAGTTCCATGAGCCTTGACAAATGTATACATCCGTGTAGCCAACATCATTATTAAGATGTAGACCATGTCCATCAACCCATGAAAGTTCCTTCATGCCCCTCTAAAGTTAATCACTCTGACCCAATTCCTTGAGGAGCCACTGACTTGCATTTAAACGAATTTTTTTTTGTGAAGCACACATACACACACACAGATGCACACACACACAGACAATAGATAAATATAGAGAGAGTTCCTATCTGTTGTTCGCTGTTGAAGTGCCCACATGGACAGACTGGGCCAAGCCAAAGCCAGGAACTGGGAGTGCAATCCAGGCCTCTCAAGGGAGAGACAGGAGCCCAATTACTTGAGCCACCACTGCTGCCAAAGTCTCCATTAGTAGCAAGCTGGAGTCAGGAGTTAGAGCCCAGAATCCAGCAGTCACTCCAACCTGGGATTCAGGCATCCCAACCACAGGCCAACAGCTGCTACGCAGTGGTCTGCTTTTCATCACTACGGATTAACTTGCTCCTCCAGCACTGGTACCCAATTTTCATATCTGGCATTTTTGTTTGTTTGGTTTTTGAGCTTCATTCCTGGTACTGTACATATCAGTAGCTACATCTATTTCATTACTGTATATTACCTCATTTTGGACCATGGTACAATTTGTTTATTCATTTATCTATTATTATCTACTATTCCAGTTGTTTCAAGTTTGGGTCTATTATGAATAAAACTACTGTGGACATTTGTGTACAAGTCTTTTTCATGGATAAGACACAGTACTGATAAGTAAAATTAAAAAATCTCAGAGCTAGACAGAACAGAAAAGAGGGATCCTAATGTGCTGAGTTCAGTCTTCTGCCTCCAGCCCTCTGCTTTCTCCCCTCCACCACAGTCCTGAGAACTGGATGTTTGGTCTCTGTTTGCCCCCTGCTAGGGAACTCACTGCCTTTTTTTTTTTTTTTGACAGGCAGAGTTTACAGTGAGAGAAAGAGAAACAGATAGAAAGGTCTTCCTTCTGTTGGTTCACCCTGCAATGGCCGCTGTGGTCAGCATGCTGTGCTGATCCGAAGCCAGGAGCCAGGTGCTTCTCCTGGTCTCCCATGTGGGTGTAGGGCCCAAGCACTTGGGCCATCCTCCACTGCCCTCCCTGGCCACAGCAGAGAGCTGGACTGGAAGAGCAGCAACCGGGACATAATCCGGTGCCCCAACCGGGACTAGAACCCGGTGTGCAAGCACCACAGGTGGAGGATTAGCCTATTGAGCCTCGGCACCGGCCTAAGCCATGGTACCAGTTTCACTGCCTTTCAGAGCTGCTTATCAGAGAATCCTTCAATTGCTAGAAAGTTCTCCCTGACACTGAATTGCAAATGGCTGCTGGATAGGGCCCTGGTGTGGTGCTGCAGTGAAGCCTGGTAACAGCCACACAGCCGGGTATTTTACAAAGGCCCCCAGAGTGACTTCCGGTCTTCCCTGTTTCAGTCACCATACCCTTTGTTCTGCCATCCATTCCACTTGAGACTTGCTTGAGCTTGTGGTCAATGCCTCTTCAGCTGCTTCATAACAAACTGAACGCATTGCTCCAGCAACTGAACACCTGCCCAGCACTGGCCAGCAAAGCCCACGTCTGCACACAGCATTGCCTGATATTAGCCAGGGCTCTCCATCACCCATTGCTAACCCCACAGAGCTCACAGGCAGCCAGGGAGCCGCCCGCAGGCTCTGCTCACATGTGCTGCTGCTAAACCCTATCCCCCCATCCTGTGCTTCATGCAGTGGGCAGCAGATTTATGGAAATGGCACAGGCCTGAAAATACAAATTGCTTCAGAAATGAATCAGACAACTTCATGGTTGAAAGACCCATAATGGCTTATTACGGCAAACTGGCATGTGTTGTGCTGTCCGTGCCTTACTTTTCTAGCTGACAGCGGGATCAACAGCTATGTTGAACTAGAAGGTTCTGGAAGCCCCTAATAGCTCCTAAAGTTTGTGATGCCTTCTCCCACCAAACGTTCTTTGGTGCCACTGTCAGCAGCATACAAAGCCAGCTGGGCCAGGGGCTGCCTCAGCTGCAATGTCATCTTGGAGGAGAAGTAGTAGAAGAAAGAGAAAGGGAAGGAAGGCTAGGGAGAGGCCGGCATTCCTGAAAATCCCAAATGTCACTCAGCAGGAGACGGGCAAGGTGTGTCACCCGCACCTGGGGGAAGACGACTGCTAGTGCCACCCACACGTTAAGATGTTACTTTTTATAGTTTACTTTTTATTTTTGATAATGTGAAATGCATTCATCTTTGAATTCTTAGAAGTGCAGAAAAATTTTAAAGAAAAAATTCACCTACAATTCTGTACAGCAACAACTACCATTAATATTAGGAAGTGTTTCCTTTTAGTCACTTTTTATTTCTTTGCTCCTTAAAAAAGAGTCTTGAGAGACACATAATTGTTTTCATCTCTCCTTTGACCCATCCCTCCTTCCAATGTATGCCCACATACTCCATGTTTTGTAAGAGAAAGGGGCATAAACACGTTCCCCTACTTTAACACTCTCTTGTCCATTTTCCCATGCAACTAAGAATCCTTTAAAACACAAATTTAATGATAGTGTAGCATTCCGTGATACACATAAACTGTGAAGCGTAATCATTCCCAATCTTACATATTTAGCTTGCTTCTAGTATTTTCCCATTATTGCCACTCAGAGACAACTGTTCCTATACTCAGAACTTTCACATTTTCAGTTATTTTTCAGTTATTTTAAGGATATACTCTTACCACTGAAATATAATTTGAAGTGTACTTTCTTGAGACTTTTCATTCATATGAAAAGTACATATGTATACATATGTATACATAAGTATGTGTAGATCGATCGATCGATCGATCGATCTACAAATCCCACCCCACAGTCCCGATGTGGTCCTGCCATCCTACTTCAATCAGAAATTTCCAAAACCAATGGCATGGATCAGCTGTCAGCATCACTTCCTAACTGAATATGACACAGAAGAGAAAAAGTAGAAAAACCCTAAATTTCTCTCCAAGGATCCTAAGCCCCAGAGGTGAGTGGAACATGAACTATTAGACAGAAAATGGGTGGTTAATTGCTAGAAAGTAAACAGCCACACAACCCTGGAAAGCCAGAGGCACGGGGATGTCACTCAGCCAGAATGGCAGGTGCTGCACCCTTCACCCCGGCAGTAGCTGGGATTGTGCCTGTGTGATGAGTGGGCTCCCCGCTGCCAGTCTGCTAGGCCTGCCATGACTAAACACCACAGACTGGGTGACATAAACATCAACCGTGGACTTTCTCAGCAATCTGGAAGGTGAGCAGGGCTGGTCTCCACTGATGCCTCTTTCCTGGGCTTGGGTATGGCGTCTTCTCCCTGTGTCCTTACATGGTCATCTCTCTGGGTCATCTGTGTTCTGATCTCTTCTGATAAGAACACAGATTGCGTGAGGACCCAACCCAGTGGCATTATTTGGATGTGATCATCTTTATAAAGGCCCCATCTCCAACTGCAATTGTATATTGAGACTTAGGACTTCAACATGTGAGTTTTGGGGGGACACAGTTCAGCCCGTAGCCCTGACCTAATGGAAGTACTGGTGTATGAGGCGGGCTTTGGTTTGTAATCTGGACTCATCAGCCTCCAATGCAGGGATCCGGGGCTCTGCAGGAGTCCCTTCCTCTGAGTGGTTCTCCAAGTCCTCAGGGAATTCCTCGTTCCTCATCATGTTGTATGGAAGCTCAAGCCACTCGGAGAAGCCACATAAATGAACTCTGGTCAACAGTCCCCGCTGAGCCCCGTCTGAAGTCATCCCAGCCCAGCTACCTGACACGTGAGTGAAGAAGTTCCAGATGAGTCCAGCCTTCAACCCTTTCGCAGCTGTGTTCTGGTTGCATTTCTGATTCCTGGAACCTGTGAGTATAGTAAGACGATGTTTTATGTCACGTTTTGGATGGGATTCTGGTTTATTCAATGTTATTCCACTGGGTAACGAAGGAGCTGGATGATCACCCAGACCGCACACGTTTCCATCTATACTTCCAACAACTGTTTGTTCTGAACAGCATCCTACATGCTCTTTGGGGCACTGGGGAGTTGGGGTGGCATTTGCATGTGACTCACAGTGCAGTCTAAGTGATGAGTGCTTCGCCAAGGAAACAACCTGGAGCGATGGCACAGAAGCACCAGATTCTCACGCAGGTGACAGTGCGGAGTCAGATGGGTTAACAAGCACGTTGGTCCCTATGGAAAATGGGGAAAGCAGAGTCCCTCTAAGAGGGTGCACAATGCTTGCTTCCCTCACAAATTACCTTCAGCAGGATCAAGGTGCTAAATCCTGCTGCACGTTTTCCCCCAAAAGCTGCCTTTACCAAAAACCAAAGTGTCTGCCCACTCCTTGGGAGCTTCCAATCCTATCATGAGAATAGCAAGGGAGTGGTGATTCCACTCTTCTGAGCCCCCAGGTTACTGTAGAAACAAGTTGCCCACCCCACACTTCTGATGGCTCTTCCACGTGAGACAATTCTTTCCTGTGAGACAAAGGACCGAGATCATCTTTCTCTGTTACCTTTTCACCCATAACAATAGCAGGAACAGTGTGCTGAGGTCAACCCCAGCCCTCCTCTCTAGCCGTGGGCATCCCTATGGCCACGGTCTGTTCCCAAAGGAATTGAAGGCAGTTTTGTTTTTATTTTACATCAACTTCCTCTTTAAAACAAGATGTTCTTTAAGATCCCCTCTAGTAAGTTTTCGTGATGCAGGATGGACAATCTTTGTCTCATTTACCCCTAAAGCAGAAGCAACGCTTTGCATCAGGAGATGCAGGTTCAAACCCCAGCCCCGCCGCTCACTGGCCAGGCAGCCTGGGCAAATCATTTAAATCATCTGAGCCTAGCCTCAGTCAAATGGAAAAACATGTGCTTTACCACATGGGGATTGTTGTGAAGATTAAAGGCTTATGTGAAAGTCAGGTGGAGAGATGTCTGCTGAATCCCTTGTTAAAGTCTCTCTCTTTCTCCAAACATCTCAAGCCATCTGCATTTTCTCTGCCCTAAAGGCTGCCAAATCTCCCCTCAGTTGAGGTCTCCTCTCTCTCCCTCCCTCCTTCCCTGGCCACCCCTGAGCTGCATGCTGTCCTCCCTGACCAAGGCTAAAGCCCATGCACAAATGCAGGAGACATGCCCAGAGGCCGGCCTCCTGAGCTGTTACTCACCCCCTGATTCCTGTCAGCAGGAAACAACCTCCTCTCAGTTCTGTCACCACTTTATCGTTTTCTGTAGCACCTTCGTGCTCAACTGCTTGGAAACATCCTCTCTCCTTGCCACCAATTTCTCTACCAAGGCTGTCACAGGGCCTGTGAGGATATCTTCATTGCAGAATCTAGAGGTCACTTAGCCCTGATGTCTTGACACTGGGTCAGATGCCTTGAAGTCATTTCCTCTGCTTCTGCCATTTGGCATCCACGTCTTATCTGCAAGTGATGCCCCAGCGATGCGTCACAGTTCAGAAGTTCAAATCCGAACCTCCCACCAACTCTGCGTCTCCACCTATGTTCCCTCTCTTTGGAGACCAGATGGACATTCCCCCAACCTCCCAAGCCAGAAAACAGGCCGCCATCCCAGATGCCCCCTTAGCTCACAGCTCCTTAGCCTTTCGCCTCTCCCCCATCCCAGCCACTGTTATTTCCTGTTAAAATTGCTCCCATGGTCTCCTAGCAGGTCTCCTGGCTTCCAGTCTTGCCCCATCTCGATCCACGGCATAGCCTGAATGATTATGTCTAAAAGCATTTTTCATTGCACAATCCCTGTATTGAAAACCCTCTTGGTTCTCCACTGTTCTCAAGCTGAGTTTCAAACTTGGCTTTGCACGTGCTGTTCCCTCTGCCTGGAACAGCCTCTCTCCACCCTTGTGTATCCACGGGTCTCTGTTTAGCTGTTACTTCTGGAATACTACCTCCCTTATGCAGTATTCCCTTTGGAGCCTTTGCTTATCACACAATTGCTGTTTCTCTATTGCCTAGCACTGGGGCTGGCACTAATTGAGTGTTTGGGTAAACACTGGCTGAAAAGCAGGGATGGGAGGGATGACTACCTGCCAATGGCTTTTGAACTTGCCACAGAATCACCTGGGGGCCTTGTGAAACCGCAGGCTGGGCTCCCACCTGACTTCCTGATTCATGCCGCCTAGGGGAGGCAGCTGAGGCTGCTTGTCAGGGGTTAGGAACCCCGGCTTCCTGCAACGTCAAGGCGCCTGAGGGTGAGGGATACTTTCAAAGAAAACTGGAGGTTCGCTAAAGTTCTGTACCTTTCTTCTCCATAGCTTCCTTAACGGTATTTTATGAGATTTTAGCTTCTGAAAATGTTTTCAGGAAACTAGTTGGGCTCTAAGGTAACCAGAACACATGCCCCATTAGGGCTCAAAGGCAGCACCTGGAGGCTCACTGATGGATTGCCAGGCAATGGAACAAAGGTGAGGCTGAGGCTGGGCTTAGCAGTTGGCAGGGATCTGAGTGAAGGGCTGAGGCCTCCAGTCGGGAGAGTTCTCAGGGGACAGGCCCCAGGGACCGCTCTCAGGCATGCCCTGGATGTGCAGTGGTGGGGCGTGATTTGCACACAGAAGGGCACAGCATCCCTGGTGGACAAGTTCTTGTTGTAACTTGGCTTCTGATGGTTGGGGATTATTTTTCTCAAAAGCACTGAGAACCCATTGGGGATGTTTCTTAATGAGGTATAGGTAAGAAAGGACTTCTTTCTGCTCAGCATCTGCTTTTTAAAAATAAGCTTTATTAGTTTATCTTCATTGTAAAAAACAAACTTGGAAATTTAGAAAGCAAAAAAAAAGCATGTAATTCTATGTCCCCTGAAGGAAATCTTGTTTTGAATTTGACATCTATGCTCTAAGAAAAAAAAAGGATTATTCCACATTATAGACATGCTCTTTTATAAGACAATACTTACCTGTTTAACTTGTTGATTTTATAATAAAATACCTCCATAGAGCAAGTATTTATCAATGTTTCTAACTATTCTTTTAATACTCATTAAATCTGCTCTATGTACTGTACTGTCTTTATGCCTTTGTGAGAATCAAAGACAATTCCTATTTAAAATTTAGCAACTCGAGCATGGCTGTTTAATTTATATATTCACCAAGAATACATGAGTGCATCTCCAGAAACCCTCTGCAGCTCTGGCCATTGTCCGTTCACATTTTTTATTGGCCCTATTGCTTGGGTCTTTTCATGTTTGGGATCCATTGTGTCTCTTCAAATGTTTATTTTCCTTTGTATTTCTCTGAGATGTGCCTGTTCCTGTACTCTGTTTCTCATTCCATGGGCCTTGCTTGTGTTTTTCCCATTGATGTATAAAAGCTACCTATATGGCAAAATATTACTGCTTTCTCTAGTTGTTTCTTCCACACGGACACAAAGATGCCTCTGAACTGTAATATATACACAGTTGAACTGTTGATGTTCTAGGAAGTTGCGAGCTTTCCTTATAAAATTGAAAAATAACATTAAAATCCTATCATTTTTGGAAGTTTCCTTTTTATCTCCTGGCCCATAAGAGGGAGAAGAGAACACAGAAGGAAGTGAAAGAGAAATGAGTGCAGAGAGGAAGAGAACACAAGCGAGGGTTCCAGTCATCACATTACATTCCTAGGAGACTGGACTTACAGAGGAATCAGCTGGAGACTTGCTAAATGCAGGTGATGATGCGGGAGGTCCAGGCTGCCTTTCTCACGGGCTCCCAGGTGAGGCTGATTGTCAGGCCAGCACCCATGAGCTCAGGGACCACTCTGATTACCCTGAAATTATCATATGTTTTGAAAACTCTGTCGCTCCCCCTCTTCATGGAGGAACGACACAGGACCCTGCGCTGTTCTTTTGTCTGCTCAGCCCTCCCCGGGTTTGCTGCTGGTTCTTCCCGGGTTGGCTACCAACCCTTCCACCTCCGTGGAAGGGCGGTTCCCCCTAGCCACTTCCCCACTTCTGCAGGGGAGCGGCACACCGCCGGCCGGCTCTCGGGGGCTGCACAGGTGTTCCTTCAGATAGATGTTCCCCTTAGATGTTCCTGGTGCATGTTGTCTCTCTCCTCCTTTATAGTCCTCTTCCACCAATCCCAACTCTGCTACCCACACGCCGAGTACGCTGCCCTCCTCCAATCAGGAGCAGGTCCTGCTGTTTATTGGTTGAACTGGAGGCAGCTGTGTAGAAGCTGTTTCTCCCTTCTCAGCGCCATATTGTGGGAGAGCAGATGCATAGAATAAGTCTTAATTCCAGTAACTTAGTGTAGTCCGAGTTGCTCCCCACATCTCTCCTTTCTCTTTTTAAAGCAGAGAGAATCCTAACTGCTTGCTGTGGACAGCCACAGGTCTTTTTTTTTTTCTTTTGAAAAGAAAAATATGTCTACCTTCCTGGATTGACATCCCTGTGCCTCCTAGCCTTGCAGAACATCCCACTAAAGACTTTCCAAGGCCAACGTGCAAGCATAACACGTCCTCTTCTTGGGTCTTCTTGTTGGGCTGGGTAGAATTAAGTTGAGGGGCCAATATGGTGGTGCAGAGAGTTAAGCTGCCACTTTTGATGTTCGCCTCCCCTATCTGACTGCTGGTTTGATTCCCTGCTGCTCTGCTTCCAGTCCAGTGTGCTGGCTGAGAGTGGGAATGCGGGGACAAGGATGCAAAGAATGGAGCCAAGACAAATCCCGATCAAGGCTCCTTTATTCAACAAATCCAGTAGTATTTAAAGGTGACCAGTTGAATACAAGAAGGCACACAAAAGATTTACATATCCAAAAGACTTTTGGGGTTACAAAGAGTTCCTGACAAGGCTCTTCCTGCCATTCTTCCTGCCTCTCCCTGAAATCTCCTTAGCCTAATTGTCTGAGCCAGGATGTCTTCATTCATATGTTGAAGTGTAAACAAAAGGGGCGACTGCCTGTGGCTGCCCACAGTCCAGCTCCCTGGGGATGCAGAGACAGCCACAGAAAAGGAACCAGGTTCTTGGGTCCCTGTGGGGAGCAACTCAGACTAGACTAAGTTACTGGAATTAAGACTTATTCTATGCATCTGCTCTCCCACAATATGGCACTGGGAGAGAAGAAAACAGCTTCTACACAGCTGCCTCCAGTTCAGCCAATAAACTGTGGGACTTGCTACTGATTGGAGGAGAGCAGCGTGCTCAGCGTGTGGGCAGCCGAGTTGGGATTGGCGGAGGAGGACTATAAAGGAGGAGAGAGATGGCATGCACCAGGAACATCTAAGGGGAACATCTAAGGGGAACATCTAAGGGGAACACCTGTGCAGCCCCCGAGAGAGCCGGCCGGCGGTGTGCCGCTCCCCTGCAGAAGTGGGGAATGTGGCTAGGGGGAACTGCCCTTCCACGGAGGTGGAAGGGACAGTAGCCAACCCGGGAAGAACCAGCAGCAAACCCGGGGAGGGCCGAGCAGACGAAAGAACAGTGCAGGGTCCTGTGTCGTTCCTCCACGAAGACGGGGAGCGACATAATGGTGCCGTGACTCGGATATGAAGCCTAGGCAGGGCTTAGTGTCGTTCCCCCATGAAGACGGGGAGCGACATAATGGTGCCGTGACTCGGATAGGAAACCTAGGACGGATAGGAAACTTAGGAGGGAAGAAACGGGAAGAAATGGGAAAATACCGGAGAGAGAGAGACTAGCAAACAGCCTAGGGAAAAGCCGGACGAAAAAGGTGCCGGAAGGAGCTATTGAAAGCCTAGGCTTAGACTCGGATACGGACTACGGGGGGAAGCTGGGAGAAATCTCTAAGGTCGAAAGTGATAGTGAAAGCTAGAACAAACAGACTCGGATGCGGACTGTGGGGAGAGGCCAGGAGAAATGAGGGAGGAGTATTGTTGGAGGAAAGCTTGGGGAAACATACCGGGTAGAGAAAAATGTTAGGGAAATTGAAGCCGCGGGGGGCAGGCCGAGGCGGAGACGAAAGCCACTTTGGGATTCTCAAGTTAGCCCGGGAATAAGGGGCGAAAAGTTGAAACCAGAAGCGGAAACGTAAGCCAGATTGGGATCCGTCTGATTAGCCCGGGGACCAAAGGACGGGAAGCCAAATCGTGGGGCGGAGACGTGAGCTGGGTTGAATTTGCCAGGTTAGCCCGGGGAACTCAGATTGAATGCTAGTGGCGGAGACGTAAGCTACGCTGTGTGACTCGCGGAGGCTGCCACGCGCAGACAGAGTGTGCGGGGCTCAAGTAGATAGGGAACGCTGGGCTAGTGCGAAGCCGCGCAGATGAGAGAGGCGCGGGCTGAAGCGGCTCAGAGCCGGAAAGCTGCCGAGAAGCAGCCTCGGGGCGGGTGCCGGGAAGCCGCAGGGATAAGAGAAACAGAAGTTTAGAAGTAAAATGAGAGAAATAGGAATGTTGGCAGACAGAAGTAAAATGGGAGAAATAGGAATGCCCGGAGATAGAGAAATAGAGAAATAGAAAGGCCTCCCCACAATACTGCAATGAGAAGGCTTGGATTCGGTCTGCCTGATTAGTGAGGCGATGAGCACCTGCGGGCGGCTAGCAGCTTATGCACCGCAGGTCACCGAAGACGGGCACGTTATTAACATCAATAGTCTCCCCACAATACCGCAATGAGAGAGCTTGGATTCGGTCTGCCTGATTAGTAAGGCGGTAAGCACCAGCGGGCAGCTCGACCAGAGTATGAGCTGCAGGTCACCGAAGATAGGTACGAATCAACACCAATAAGTCACCCCACAACATGGCAATGAGAGAGCTTGGATTCGGTCTGCCTGATTAAGGCGGTAAGCACCAGCAGGCGGCTCGACCAGAGTATGAGCCGCAGGTCACCGAAGACAGGCACGCATCAGCGCCTAAAAACCTCCTCACAACATGGCGAAGAGAGGACCCGGATTCGGTTTGCCTGATTGATAGGACTTGTAAGAACCTGTGGCAACTCTAGCAAGTAGAGCAGAGTGTGTGCCGTGGGACACTGAAGACAGGCGCGTATCAACGCCAAAAAATAAAAAGAAAGGGGGATCTGTGGGGAGCAACTCGGACTAGACTAAGTTACTGGAATTAAGACTTATTCTATGCATCTGCTCTCCCACAATATGGCGCTGGGAGAGAAGAAAACAGCTTCTACACAGCTGCCTCCAGTTCAGCCAATAAACTGTAGGACTTGCTCCTGATTGGAGGAGAGCAGCGTGCTCAGCGTGTGGGCAGCCGAGTTGGGATTGGCGGAGGAGGACTATAAAGGAGGAGAGAGATGGCATGCACCAGGAACATCTAAGGGGAACATCTAAGGGGAACACCTGTGCAGCCCCCGAGAGAGCCGGCCGGCGGTGTGCCGCTCCCCTGCAGAAGTGGGGAATGTGGCTAGGGGGAACTGCCCTTCCATGGAGGTGGAAGGGACAGTAGCCAACCCGGGAAGAACCAGCAGCAAACCCGGGGAGTGCTGAGCAGATGAAAGAACAGCGCAGGGTCCTGTGTCGTTCCTCCACGAAGACGGGGAGCGACATAATGGTGCCGTGACTCGGATATGAAGCCTAGGCAGGGCTTAGTGTTGTTCCCCCACGAAGACGGGGAGCGACAGGTCCCTGCTGCCAGGATGGAGTTCCTGGCTCTTGGCTTTAGCCTGGCCCAGCCCTGGCTATTGCAGCCACTGGGAGAGTGACCCAATGGATGCAGGTGCTTGCTCTCTCTCTGTCCTTCTGCATTTCCAATAAATCTTTTTTTTTTTTAAATTGAGTTAGAGATTAATTGGCCTTTTGGACAGAAGTAGTCTCTTTTTTTTTTAAAAGAAGGAACAGCTGTCATGTAAGCTGCCCCTCCCCCTATAATGACCTAATGAATCTGGAAGCAGCAACACAGTCTGAGCACGGGGCTCAGGAGAGGTGGATTCTGGTCCTGGCTCTAACACAGTTGTTTTGCATCTATTAAACTTTCTTGGCTCAACTTCTTCAACTGCAGAACGGAGATGATAATAGAGCCTTGCCTCCGCGGGAAGATTTCGAATTAGAATTTCCCAGAGGGGTCTCTGGACTTTCTCTAGGAGCAGTGACGTCATCCATCTCTTACAACCGCCCCTGCACCGCCTGGGCTTTCCAATCTCCAAGCAAGTTTCCACAAAGCTTTCGGCGAACTGCAGAATACATCACAGCAAACAAGGCTCCGGGCACTTCTGCAGGGTCCTGAAGCCAAGAAGTAGCCCGAGCTCTGCTCATGCAGGCACTGTACGGCTGGGGATATGGGCTCCAGCTCTGATTCGAAAGCACACTCAAGGACGTAGGGCTGCTGACCAAACACAACCAGTGGCTCTAGCAAGGCCACACCGGCACGAGGGAGGGGATGGAAAAGCAGCATTTATGGAGTGTGTTAGCTCACTTTCCTGCAACAACCCCGGGAGATGGGGAGTGTCCTTCACTCTGGGCAGCAATGGAGTCAACAATTGTCCGAAGGTCACAAGTAGGAAGACCTCAAAGCCCGATCTGCTCCAGGGGTGTAGCCCAAACCTCAGTCTCACAGCAAAGCAGAGGTGCTCAGAGCAATGGAGACTGGGCAGTGGGGGAAGGGGACCTGCTGACTTTGCGCAGGTCATGTCACTTGGTTAAGGCTGAGGTTTCTCCTGCCAGCACTTCTCACATACAGGCAGTGAGAAGGTGCCACTGCCCAGGGCTGGCCCAGAGAGCCCACTGAGAGCCTCCCTAGGCTCTCAGCCAACCTAGCAAGTTTGCAGCAGCTCAGGGCTGCCTGCAATACCGACAAACAAACGACAGCCCACCCGTGCCCCTGTCTCATCTGAGGACAGCAAGCCGGGAAGACAGCCCGTTTCGAAGCTCCACGATGTTGTCAGAGAACAGAGCATCCATCTCTGCCTGCCTTTTTTTGGTGTGTGTGTGTGTGTGTCCCTTCTAGCGTCTGCCTCCTCCACATGGCAGCTGCCCCAGGTCTCGGTTGCCCCATGCTGGCCAGCACCCACAGGTGCTCTGCAGGCTCCGACTCCTTGGCCTGCTGCTCCCCACTCTCCCGCCTGGGGTCCAGATGCGGACCCCAGCAGACGCGGCTGTCTCTCGGGGCGCACACCCGGGCCCCTGGCCCTTCCCCACTGGGTGATCTCACCCGATCACCATCACGTGCCCCTGGGCTCCTCCTGGCTGACTCCCAGCAGCAGCAGGCTGGGTGTCACCTTCCAGCCCTCCTCCCGCCACGCGCGGGCCTCTACGCTCCGGAGCGCTTACTTCATCCCATAAACTCGGCTAATGCTTACCACATACTCCCTGGGCGGCCGGGAGAAACCCCTCCCTTGACAGACCCTTACTCCAGACCCGGGAGCGGCGGAGGCGGCCTGTGCTGCCGGCCCCCAGGACAAACATGACCTTGGACGCCTCTACGAAGCCATGTCCACTCCTCTGAGCAGGCGGCGGCTTTGAACCAAACGGTGCCTTTTGTCCCTAGCGTTTAGGAAACCGATGGCGCCCGTTTCTCGTTCGCAATTATGGCAACTTGGCGCGGAACCCCCACGCCCCCTTCCACTGCGCCCCAAGCGCAGAGCCCCGGGCGGGGAGCAGGGCGGCTCCCAGGGCGCTTGGAGCGGCGCTGCCGGCGCGGGAAGTCGCCCGAGTCCAGCGCCGCTGCCGGCGCGAAATTGCAGGCGGGCGGGCGCGTCGAGTTTGAAAACGAGCGAGGGCCGTGGGGGCGGGCCCCGGGAGCGGAGCCGCCTCCCTCGGCCAATCAGCGGGGGCGGCGCGTGCGGCCGGGCTGTGAATGGGGAGCGGCGGCCGCGGCGGAGGGCGAGAGCCGGCGCGCGGGCGGGCGCACTTTCTCCTCAGCGCCGGGTGACAGCGCGGCGGTCGCCCGGAAGGGCTCCGGGCGTCGCGACGAGAACTACCCCCGCTGACGACTTCTCCTCCGCCTCGCTCGACCCCTGCCGCGCACCTCACGCGGGCACCCGGGACGCCGCCCCTCAGCGCCGGGCACCGCGTCCACCCGGGGCCGTCCCAGCCGTCCGGTGCGGCGTGGCGCTCCGGGTGGCAGCTCCTCGGTATGGTCCGCGGTGCCCGGCCCTCGGTGACCGCCGGCGGCCCGCCGCTCCCTGAGTGCGCTGGGTCCTTGCCGGGCCCCGTGCCTCGACCGCGAGCGCCCGGGACCCCGCGCGGCGCCAGGCATTGCCGGCGAGGACGCGGAGTGCGCAGGGCAGCGCGGCGGACGGCAGGCGGCAAAGTTCAGCCCGGGCCGCGGGCGGTGGGCGCTGCTGCTGCTCCAGCTGCACTTGCTGCGGGCGCTGGCTCAAGGTAGGCGCGGGCCGGGGCCGGGAGTGGGCTCTGGGGAGATGGGCGCCAGTCGGGGTCCTGGGCGCCGCCCCGGGGGCGGGCTCCGGAGGTCGGGCGCCGCTTCGGGGTGCAGCGCGGCGAACTTTGCGAGCGCGGGTGCGCGGTGTCCCCTGCCCCCCGAGGCGCCAGGCCAGGACTGCGGCGCGCGGGGTGCCCGCTAGACCCACCCGGGGCGGGGGAGGGGCAGGTGAGCTCCTCGAAGCCCACCCTGCGAACGAAAGCCTTTGAAGGGGAGCCCCAGGCACCCGCTCCTGGAGAGGCTGCCCGAGTCCGACCCAGCGCGCCGAGCTGGAGCCGCTGGACCGGTGTCGCTCTTTGCCCCGCGGAGTCTGGGCGGCGGTGCGGGGCTCGCCCCCGCGGACCCCCAGCGTCAGATGCAGCCGCGCCAGCTGCTGGGCGCCCCCCTCCCGGGCAACCCCGGCCTCCCGCTGCTGCGGTTGCCCCGAGCCCGACCCCTAGGTGGGAGTGTGCTGTCGGTGGAGCAAAACTTTCCGTGTCCACAGCTGTGCGGCTTGGCTTTGTTTCCCTCGCTCTGTGGGCCTCGGTTTGGAACATTCCAGTGGTGATCGCTGAAATAGGAAGCGGCGATCTGCCGATTCCAGATGACCTCTGGCACGGCGAGGGGGCATCTCCGTGAAAGGAGCTGTCCCCGGCCGGCCGGAGCCCTTCGCCTGCCCCTCAGCACCCTTTCCGCTGCAGTTCGCTGGTCTTAAAAGAGGGGGTGGGGGAGAAACAGCCGCTTACATACCACCCTTTTCGGATGAGGTCTGTAGGTTAGCCAGGCTCTTCTGCTGTTGGCAGCGCTAGTCAAATTAACTTTGGGCTGTGTTCATTAGCTGTATCCTGGAAAACCATCTCGGTGAGGAACTGGGTACTCGGAGGTTGACTGACGTGGGACAGCCTTGAACTCCAGTTAGCTGTGTTCTGCGTCACGTGCAGATGATTTAGCTTACTGCACAGGAAAGGATTCAAACGCACCAGCATGTTGACGGTCTGAATTGAAAGCCGGCATGCCACAGTTTAGAAACTAACTCAAAATTTTTAAACTGCTTATCTAATAGTATCTGAATGGTGCCTCCCCCAGGGGTTCATAAATGGGTTCCGTGAGGTCTTACTGCGTGAAAACAAATCGTCCTGCTTATGCTCAATTTAACTCCAGCATTAGTTGTACAGTTTTCATTTTTATTTGTGCTTCTTGCTTAATATCTTAGTCTGGAAGCAAGGCGTCTGTTAAGTCATTTTGTAAAATGGGATCTGGATTGCCAGAGAAGCCAGGTTTAACTGAAGAAATTGAAATCACTTGATTTGACCTTTAGAATAGAAATGGTGTTTTATTATTGAGTTTCTTTTTTTTAACTTTTATTTAATGAATATAAATTTCCAAAGGAGAATATGGATTACAATGGCTTCCCCCCCATAATGTCCCTCCAACCCGCAACCCTCCCCTTATCCACTCCCTCTCCCCTTCCATTCACATCAAGATTCATTTTCAATTCTCTTTATATACAGAAGATCAGTTTAGCATACATTAAGATTTCAACAGTTTGCTCCCACACAGAAACATAAAGTGAAAAATACTGTTTGAGTGCTAGTTATAGCATTAAATCTCAATGTACAGCACACTAAGGACAAAGATCCTACATGAGGAGTAAGTGCACAGTGACTCCTGTTGTTGACTTAACCAATTGACACTCTTGTTTATGGCATCAGTAATCTCCCTATGCTCCAGTCATGAGTTTCCAAGGCTATGGAAGCCTTTTGAGTTTCTTTAAACTCAAAAAAAAAACTTAAAAAAAAAGTGACTTGCACTTTACAGTAAGATATTTGCATTTACGTGTTTGAAGATGTGCACAGATTGAAACAGTGGGGAAAATCAGTGGCTTTGTTTGAAGTTTATTACATGGATGTAAAGTTTTGGTCATTGGCACTCTGAAGGCTGTTTGAAGTATTTTTACAGATGAAAAATGAATGAAAATACATTAATTAAAATACTAAGGCAACTGCCAAACTTTCTTAGGGAGGAATAGTTTATTCCTTGTCGGTAAAAACATTGGTATCTGTTTTACATTTATATGGTTTGTAAAAGTGTACAGATCTTTTAGTGTAGAATTTCAAATAGATTGTCACAAATTTTAAATTCATTGACAAGTTTCTGTTCTCTGTGAAATGTGTAATATATCCATCATTTTTTATATCATTGAAAATTCATATTACAGAGGAGATGTCACCGTTTGACAAAAGCTCATGTATCTTGAAAATGAAAATTCTGGTGCTGCTATAGCGATTTCTGATGGCATGATGAGCTGGTCATATGCAAGGAGTGTGATCTCTTGAATCTTATCAGATACAATGTAATATTCTAAATGGGGTAGTTACCAGTAAGTTGCAACTGGTCATAAGCACCATGTTGTTACTATGTAGCGAGGTGAAGCTATTGGGTAGGCTTGGTCATATCATCCTGGAAGAGAATAAATGCATCATTTATCAGTATAAGTTACAAATAATCAGCAGAAGTTACAAAAGAAGATATTGTTGACCCTGGAGGCAGTTCAGATCTTACAGAAAAAAAAAAAAAAAAAAAAAAAAAAAAAACCAAAAAAACCTTTTTAATGTTCTGGAGTAACTCTGTTCTACATGGTAACAAAGAGTTGCACACTGATTATTGGTGATTATTTAATTGCTTTTGACTTTTCTAGATACCTAAAAAGCCAAATCTTTAATTCTGAAAGGCAGGTGGCAATACACACTTTCTTTATACTTTCTGCTGAGAAGCCAGATAGGAGTGGCTTGGGAGAAGGATGGATCCTAAGTATCACATGTGGTCAGTGGTGCCTTTAGCTTGACTGCTGATGTATTGGTTCTGGTGGTTTTCAGGACACATCATCAGTCCCAGAGGGATAGGAGTGCTCTTGTCAGTTACCGTCCCTGGTTATTCATAGCATGCAGTTTCTCCCTGCAGTTGTTTCCAGTCTCTTAGGCCAGTGGCTCTCAAACTTTGAGCACACACTCTCCCCCACCCACCGGCTCCCTGGAGGATTGTTAAAACTTTAAGGGACCACCTCCTTCTGTGCTAACTTGAGCTGCAGCTTGCTTTCTGTGGGATTGTGACATACACTTGAGTTTCAGAACCACTGATGTATACTGCTTTGTTTTTCCTCACTCCAGTCTGCTGATTTCCCCAGAACTCTCTAAGCTGGTGTTTCTCAAACATGGGTGCACATTGGAAGCACTTGGGAGCTTTCAGTGTTGCGCCTCCATCTGTCTTCCAGACTTTGTTGAATGGATTTGAGGTTTGACCTGGGTGGAGAGAGCCAGGCTCTCCAGCTGATTAGAATGTGTAGCCAAGTTTAAGAACCGCAGCGCTTAGCCTTTAAGTGAGATCACAGGATTCAGTTTTCCTTCAGACATTGTCCTAGGTGTCCAGTCATCCCCCAAGTCATTCCGGCAGCTTATGGACCTTAAACCTGTCTTGACTAACGCCTGTCCCAGGTTCATGATCTCTCTGAGCTACTTGCTTTTAAGCTGCGAGTTCTGTTTATTCCTGTGCAGACTGCTGAGCTCCTACTTGGGTGCTCATCTGGAGCATGCATCATAATCACCGGTGAAATCTTAAAAATAATTGAAAATTTGAGCTCCACTTGAGGTCTGTTGACTCTCAGAATTGGGCATTTTTTAGAAGTTTGACAAGTGATTCTTGTCTCTCTTGTTACATTTTTATTCTTGTGATGGTTGATCTCATAATCTCTGGGTTCTCTGCCACCCTAGCATGCTTTCCTGTGGCCTGGCTCACTTGTGTTAAGTCAGTTGCCAGCCCTGGGTGGTCTCCTAATTAGGCTTTTCTGTCAGTTGTTTGCTGGGGAAATTACAGCACAGTGTTGATCGAGGTCACTGCAAGTCTGGTTTCCTTTGAGCCCGCACTGCCTTCTGTGAATCGATAAGTGATTCATTGCCCCTCTTCCTCTTATCCCTGGCCCCTTCCCCTCACAACTTTAACTTGAGTTTCTAGGAGTCCCAGGCTACCTTGCTTGGGCTGTTGCATATTTAACAGGTGGTTATTGGCTACTTTGTTGGCCTTGCAAATCCAGTAATAGCCATTATCACCCTGTACATCCAGGAAGCTTCCTGTACTCTCAAATATTTAGGTGAAACAAAGTGGAAAGACTGCAAGTTAAATGGGTAATTAAGTGATGAATGATAAGTCTTTCTAGTTAAATGTACCACTTCAAAAAATTCCTGGAAAAAATGGAGGTATGTTGGCCAAAAAAGTGTGAAATTCATGCATTTTTTTTCACCATACCCATAGCCATGGGCTTTTTGAGGAGCCCTTGGGTGGTTTTTGGTGCATAGGATGGGGTGTGTGAAATGGCGTTGGTCTGTGGCAGGCAGTGTCATTCTGCTTGCTCTCTGGCCTTCCTCAAGGTGTCCAGGAGCCGGGAGGCTAGGGATATTGCCTGACTACACATAGAGAAGGGAATGCACATAGCAGCAGGAGGAAACACAAACTGCATTGTGATGGCTCATGCTTCAGTTTCTCTAAGCAACTTAGAAAATGGTAGTTCTGAAAGTAGGCCCTTGAAGTCCAATTCATGAAAGCAGAGGGTGGGAATGAAAATCTGGGTGAAAGGGATAGTATGAAGAAGAGGGACACTTAAGTTAGAAAATGCAAAGCTGTTGATTTCAGTTGGTTTAAATACTCTTGGTATACAATGATATATTGTGTGTAATGTAGGTGAGTATCTTAGTTCATGTAGTCCTTTTATTCTGATTTGACTTCAGTGGTTCTGTAACACATTTTCTTAAAGTTTCCCCTGAATTTGTACACTTCCCAATTAAAAAGTCATGAACAACTGTACCCATAATCCTGAGGGAGAATATATGGTTAGTTGAGCCTGCAAGTGGCACCTTCTGCCATCCTCTGGTAGCACATAGAAATTACAGTTAAAATTTTTAGTGAATTCCTGAAATGCAAAACTGTCATAGTTTGACCATACCTGAGACCTGTTGTGAAGAAGTTTATTGCAATTAATCTTGGAACTTCATTATATTAACACTAGTTTTACTATATCCAAGCATACACGCCCACAAATATTTGGGATCATTGCTTCAGGAATCTCTGTTGATGCATTTGCTGTGTTGGTATTTAGGTGATCTGGCTTCCTGACAGCTCTAAAGCCAGAGAATCATTGCATTAGGCTGGCCCCATTCCCCTGTGGTTCTTGTGGGAATGAGAATATTTTTAATAAAGCTTTCCTAGGAACATGATGTAGTGAATGGAGAAGGCATTGGGCTAAGCGTCGGTAGCTCTGGTTTTATTTCGTCTGTGACTGCCTTGCAGTGTGAGCAAGTCGGGTAGCCTCTCTTGCTCTGTTTGCTCATCTATACAGAGGGAGGCGGTTAGACTCACTGTTCAAATCTGTTCTGCTCTGATTCTCTGATCTTCTGTATGTTGTCACATCTTTTCTGCCCTTACCAGACTCTCTAAGTGTGTCTCCTCTTTGGGGATTCTGTAATTCCATATGTCTTAGTCCCTAGAATTTAACTCTCTTCATTTTAGTTTGCCAGGTATGTTCAGTGTTGAAGACAGCATTTCTCCTGAGATGCTGCTAACACATGATGCATTTCCTCTAGCCGTACAATGGTTCATGCTCAAAATTTTAGGTTCTCTAAAGCAAATTAGTGGCATAATTTATCAATGTAAGCTGTAAATTTGGAGAATTAAATAAGCATCTTATTTTAAGAAAATTTATCTAAGTGGTCAGAAGAAGAAAGAGTAATGAGATTAATAGAAATCTACCAAAGGTAATTGATGCTCTGAGAGATATAACAAGATGTGGGATAGGAATTGGTTGTAAGAATGTAGCTGTTTACTGGACAGTGACCATAAGTAATGAAAGAGATTAGTAGTTGGTGTTTTGAGTTTTCTGTGCTCAACCTCATGTTATTTTGGCTTAATTGTCTTCATTAAGGACTTTTAGTAAAGCAGAGAGTCCTTAAAATTAAC